GTTACCTAAACCTCAAACCTGTACAAAATTAACTCAAATAGATGACAGATTTAAATATAAAAGTTAAAATTATAAAACTTTTAGGAGAAAACCTTTGGGATGTAGGACTTGGTATGTTAGATATGATGCCAAATATGATCCATTAAAGAAAAAAATCTTAGTAAATTGGCTATCAAGAAAATTTAAAACTTTTGCTATGTGAAGTATCCCACTGAGAAGATAGAAATGACTAGGCACAGTGGCTCCTGTCTGTAATCCCAACACTATGGTAGGCCAAGGCAGGAGGCTCACTTGAGCCCAGGAGTTTGAGACCAGCCTGGCCAAACCTGTCTGTGTCAAAAAAAAGAAAAAAAAAAAAGAAAAGAAAAGAAAAATTAGCCAGGTGTGGTGGTGCACACTTGTAGTCTCAGCTACTCAGGAGGTTGAGGTGGGAGGATCACTTGAGCCCCAGAGGTGGAGGCTAGAGTGAGCCATGATCACATTACTACGCTCTCCAGCCTGGATAACAGAGTGAGACCCTCCGGTGAAAACAAAAACAAAAACAAACAGGCTGGGTGTGGTGGTCCACGCCTGTAATTCCAGCACTTTGGGAGACCGAGGCAGGCAGATCACCTAAGGTCAGGAGTTCAAGACCAACATGGCGAAACCCTGTCTCTACTAAAAATATAAAAATTAGTCGGGCATGGTGGCAAACACCTGTAATCCCAGCTACTTGGGAGGCTGAGACAGGAGAATCACTTAAACCCGGGAAGTGGAGGTTACAGTGAGCCAGGATTGTGTAAGTGCACTCCAGCCTGGCCGACGAAGTGAGAATTCATCACAAAAAAAACAAAAACAAACAAACAAACAAAAAACCAAGCAAACAAACTAAAAGGATGAAAAGACAAGCAACAGACTGGGAGAAAATACATGCAAACCATACAAAGAAGCTGTACCTGTGATCTACAAAAAATTATCAAAACTCGACATTAAAAAACATACAATTCAAGGGCCAGGCACAGTGGCTCACGCCTGTAATCTCAGCACTCTGGAAGGCCAAGGCAGGTAGATCGCCTGAAGTCAGGAGTTCAAGACTTGCCTGGTCAACATAGTGAGACCCTGCCTCTACTAAAAATACAAAAAATTAGCTGGACGTGGTGGCAGGCACCTGTAATCCCAGCGACTCGGGAGTCAGAGGCAGGTGAATCGCTTGAACCCTGGAGGTGGAGGTTGCAATGAGCCGAGATCTCACCATTGCACTCCAGCCTGGGCAACAAGAGGGAAACTCCATCTCAAAAAAAAAAATTATACACACACACACACGCACATACTTCAACTACAAAATAGGCAAAAGGTATAAAAAGACATTTTGCTGACCAGGATATATAGATGGCAAATGATGATATGAAAAGATGTGTAAAATCACTAGCCATTTGGGAAATGTAAATTAAGATCATGATGATACATCACTACCCATCTATTAAAATAGCTAAAATAAAAATAGTGAAAATACCAGGTACTATTGCTGACAGGAATGTAAAATGGTACAGACACTCCAGAAAATATTTATGCAATATCTAAAAAAAACAAACGAACAAACAAAATAAACATATACAGTCATTCTTGATATCCATGGAGGATTGGTTCCAGAGCCTCCCAGGACACTAAAATCCAAGGATGATCAACTCCCTGATACAAAATGCCATACTAATTGCTTATAACCTATGCACATCCTCCCCTATACTTTAAATTATCTCCAGATGATTTTATACATAATACAATGTAAATGCTATATAAATAGTTGTTATACTGTATTGTTTAGGGAACAGTAACAAGAAAAAAGTCCATACAAGTACAGTACAATTTTTTTTTTTAATATTTTCAACTTCAGGTTGGCTGAATCCATGGATGTGGCTTACCATATGACCAAAGAAATGAAAAGTTGCATGCACACAAAAACCTAAACATCAATGATTATAGAAGCTTTATCTATAAATGGACAAAACCAGAAATAACCAAAACGTTCTTTCTATAGGGCAATGATTTAATAGATGAACCATGGTACTTCCATACCATGGAACACTATAAAGCAATGTAATAGAGGGATGGATCTCAGGGACATCATGCTGAGTGAAAAAGGGCAATCTCCAAAGATCACATACTGTATAATTTCATGTATATAATAGTCTCAAAATGACAAAATTACAGAGATGAAAAACAGATTAGTGGTTGCCAGGGGACAGGGATGGTAGAGAGACAGAGGCCATAATTTGTGGTGGTGGAATAATTCTTTATGTGGATTGCAGTGGTGGTTACACTAATCTACATATGATAAAATGGCACAAAGCTACATATACATTGTACCAATGTCAATTTCCTGGTGTTGGTATTATACAATAGTTATGTAACATGTAACCACTGAAGGAAACTGGTAAAAGGTAAGGACTCTACTATGTTTGCAATTTCCTGTGAATCACTAATTACCCCAGAACAGTTAAAATAGTTTTCAGAAATCTGAGAATAAGCTAAGGAAGTACATAGCTTTGTAAGTAACAAGAATCTGCCCACTCTTCTTATTAATGTTAGAGTTGTTTCAAGGACCAAGCATAATAAAACATTAAATGCTGGTTTTAGCTAAGTGCCTACAATGAGCCAGGCACTGCTGTAAGTACTTTCACACAATGCCCTGTTTAATCCATGTAACAACCTTATACATGAAATTCCACAACCCCATTTTACAGGTAGCAAAAGTGTGGTTGAAAGAGGTTAAAGCAATTTGTTCAGGGTCACACAGTAAGTGTTAGAGCCATGATTTAAATTCACATTAATACCAGAGGCATGCCTCTTGCATACCACTGTAACAATAAAGATGTTCAGAGGATAAAAAAGGTATCAAACTATGTGCAAAAGCCTGGATTAAGCAAAGTTAAACCAGTTTATTTTCTATAGGGTTTTCAAAGCTTTTTAAATGCTAGTTCATGTTACATACGTAAAAGGCTAGAGTATACAGTTTTTCTCAAATGTATTTGACCAAAAAAACTCTTTTTCCCCAAAAATCTAGTTTGGGTATATAATCCAAGAATCTTTCGGCCAAAAGTTAAAATGTTTAAATGGATTTATCTTAACCCACTTCTCTTCTTCACATATTGGCAAACTACAAATATTTACAGTGGTGTTGTCCAATGTGGTAGCCACTAGCCATATGTGACTAATTATACATTAATTAGAATTAAATAAAATCAAAATTTCAGTTCCTCAATCACGTCACATTACAAGTCTGTTCAAGGACCACATATGGCTACCATATTGGTCAGCACAAATACAGAAAATTTCCATCACCTGAGAAAGTTCTGTCAGTCAGCATTGGGTCAGAAGCTTGTTTTTTTAAAGAACATGGGATCTGTACCATCTTCAGGAAAGCACATTGTGAATTATTACACATGTTATTGCCTCTATTCCCCCCATAAAACTGGGCTAGGTCAGAGATCCTTGATGATCTAAAGCTACTGCAATGTCAAAGCAGAGGGAAAAGGTAAACAAAGGAGTGGAAAAAATGAATAGCAGGAAGAGAAGCTTGAAGCCAGATTCAGGAGTCTGGGTTCTACTCCATTATGCCAATAATTTTTTTTTTAAACTTAATTTTTTTTGCATTTGGTGCTAATTTAACTGTGATTAAACAGGTCTCTTTACTACTTTGGGCCTCAGTTTCCTTTTCCACAATACAAATTTAAGCCATACGATCACTGATTCCCTCTAGTTCTGTACAGTTAAAACACACACACACAATGAGAAAGCAGGGAATAAAGGTAAAAATAGAAAGATCATCGAATATTGGTAGTGGAAACTGGCAATCCTGTCATCTTGCCACAAGTTCTATTCCCCAGGACAAGATTTGGATACCACCAAATGAATAAAAATTTAATGCTTGTCAATGCTTATTGAGCAATTATTTGCAAACAGCACCAAAAAAAAAAAAAAAATTAGCCTTAAGACCAAATATGTGGAAGGAATGCAAGGAAAGACTGGTTCATTAACATGTAATAACCCAACTGGTCCAGTACTAAAAAACAAAGAAGTATTTTAAATCTTCCTGAGGGAAAATAACTAGCAAATTATATAAAATAATATACAAAGTACAAACATATGGCATAATAATAGCATCAAATTTCTTCAACAAATAAAATAAATTCTACAGGTACTTGGGAACAGGAAGACGCCAATTTTGGCCAATCTAATTTTTCTAGAACCCACACTTTATTGGATACTCTTACATTTTCTAGTTATATATTCTTGAGGGCTATTGGAATTAACAGATTCATAAATTGTGCTGGACAGAATAAAATGCAACCGGAATTCCGGCCTCTTACTGCACACCCACTTTTCAGATGCACTGTTGGTCCTATTTCCTCGTATCAAAGGGTACAGAAAACCTTCCACATGCCTATTCTAACAACTGAAATAGCTAATATGAAACCTTTAAAATGATTTTTACCTCTAGATTAAAAAGAACCAAGATAAACTGCGTTTGGTATTTTACCTTGCAGAAGGTAAGTCAACCAGTGAGTCGTGTAACCTTTACATGAATTCCCTCCTGGAAGACTGGAATCATACCCGTGACTATTCTGGAGTAAGGGAGAGCAGACACTAAAGCTTTCCAGCAAGCAAAACAAGGAGAAGGGATTTTAGCAACATGCCTTTACTTTGGAAAGACATTTTTTAGTACCCCACCTACTAATCTAACGCGGCGCGGAAACCTTGCAGAATTTGAAAACAAATGGTGAGAAGCTCCGGGGGACTGGTAAAGGGGTTAGTAACTGACAGCTCGGCCTCGGAGCGAGAAGCCTCAAGTAGTTAGATCAAACTGTGTCAACGATCTGAAATCCAGGGTCCACCCTAGTGGGCTTAGAGAAGTAGAGCAGCAGGAGGTAAGCAGGGCTTTGGCGTGTTTCAGTCCTAAAGATGCGGGATATCGGAACTGACAGAGACCTAGAACCCAAGCCGGGCAGTTTGCCTGCTCTCACCTCTCTTGGGGGCTTTGATGAGAGGCACCCCTCCAGTCCTCTCGCCGTTTTCCTGCTTGTCCTTGTGCTTGAGATCGGTTCCGCAGGAGCTGGGGTCACCATCGGAGCCGCGGTGGTGATGGTGCTTGTGCCGCTCCTTGTAGCCCTTATGCTTGGGCCCGGCCGCGCTCACCGTCAGAGGCGAGAAGGTGAAGAGGGCCGAGGTGCTTGGGGCCGGGAGAGGGGCAGCGACAGCGGGCCCGGCGGGTGCCAGCGAAGGTGGCGGCGGAGGCGGCAGGAGAAGAGGCTCAACAGGGCCTGGGACAGTTGGGGCTGCATTCGTTGGCGGCAGCGGCCCAGGATGTTGGCGGCTGCGACGCCGGCGGTGAGGGGGAGCGAGAGGGGGCTCCTGGCTCGGCCGCCCCCGCTTCTCCTGAGACCCCCCACTGCTAGATCGGCGCTGCCGCTTCACTCCCCGCGGGGAGACCCCAGCATGAGGTTTCTCCTTCCCCTCTTTGTCCGGCTCCTCCTGCGCCGCCACCGCCCGTACTACGCGCACCGCTCCGACCTGCGCAGCCATTTCACCCACAAACACACATTTAAATGGCCCGACCGCCCCCCCGTCTGCGCATCGCGCAAGCGCCGCCCGCGCACTGCCCGCTGGGCATTGGAGTCTCTCCCCCGCCCTCCACTTGTCGGCCGCTCTTCGTCCAGAGATGAACATGCCGGAAGCGGCCGTTCCCAGCTTTTCTCCGCAGGCCCTTCCAACCGACCTTCTATTGTAAAAGCACCCTGGGCCGCGCAAAGCGTCATGGGAACTGTAGTTCCGCCGCGCCCCGCGCCGCGTCCCCGGCTCTGAGTGGAGAAGCGGAAAGGGAGCGTGCGCGAAGTCACGCTTCTGGCTGCGACGCAACCGCTGCTGGGCGGTGATTTGCCGCCAACCGCCCTAACGGCCGAAACAATGTTAATGGCTTTCAGAGTCTGGAGGCGTGTTCCCATTATCATCTTCCTGTGACCCTTCCTCGTTTTACACAGTGGAGGTGGTCTCCACAGTGACTTTTAAATTTAACATTCCTCTCATAACCTTTGTGAGGTAAAAGAATCTCCATCCTTTTAACTTTGACGGGAAATGAAGATGAAAAGAGGATTTAGTAATATGTAAAATAAGGGTGGTTTTGCTGTAAAAATAAGATAGGGCCTCAATTCAGAAATATTTTCAAGCATCTGGGGCATTGTTACAGTTACAACTACAGGCCTAAGAAGTCGGGTGCGAGAACTCCTTGGGGTCCTGGTGAGTGCGGCCCCTCCTCACTCACAGAGGGATATGTCGAGCCATATCCCTCTAATGTCAGGAAAGGGTCAGCATTTATTTTGAATATATCCCTAAGTTACGAAAAATTGTAGATGGAAACCATGTTTAAGATTTTAATAAGATTTTTTTTCAAATGTTAAGGATATAGATTGCACAAATTTGAAAATTGTGCCTACCAGAGAACACACCAAAAATCGTCACTGTTCACTACGATATAGTTGCTGCTCAGAAATTCGTTTAGAATTTCATCCTCGCTTTAGCTTTTACCTGGGTTTCTTTTATGTATTTATTTAGAGATGGGTGGGGCGGGGTGCGGTGGCTCCCGCTGGTAATCCGCTAGCTTTGGGAGACCGAGGTGGGAGGATTGCTTGAGGCCAGGAGTTCAAGATCAGCCTAGGTAACATATGAGCCCTTGTCCCTCAAAAATATTTTTTAAATTATCCAGGCACACGCCTGTAGTCCTGGCTACTTGGGAAGCCGAGGGGGAGGAGTGGTCGTGCCACTGCACTGTGGCCTTGGTGACAGATCCAGACCCTGACTCTTAAAAAAAGGGAAATACAAGGTCTTGCTCTGTTGACCAGGCTGGCCTCCAACTCCTGGGCTCAAAGAATGAGTACCTGGGCCGACAGGTGCACTCACAGTGCCCAGCTTTACCTAGAATTCTTTTAATATATTTGTTTCTTGATAAAGACATTTGGAAGTAATTGATTATAGGGATATACTCAGCAGATAAAATAACTGGTTTGATATCACTAGTTTCTGGAGAACTATTACCTAAACATTGTAATGAGGTCAGTTTAAAAACAAAAAAGTTTATTGAGCATCTATTGGATACATTGTACTACAACAGACATAATAATATCTCATTCAATTTGCCCTATTGGGCTTCCGAATGAAAAATACAAACAAATGATGTTTAAGCAATATCACATGTTTCTAAAAGTTATAAATAAAGTTCTTTAAATAAGATTTTTAATGCATTAGGGAAAGTCAGGTAGATTCTTTTTAAAAAAACAATTACCTGCCAATTTATTTGCTATATAAAATTAGAGTTGAAATAGATTTTCTTATGGGAGATCCATATTCATATAGAAATTTACTTTAAACTAGTATTTTTGATTGGCTGGATATAAATTGCACATGATCTAAAGATCCTGTATAAACATGTGCAATTTATGTCTTGCTACCAAAAGATAGCTATTATATTTCATTGATTACTTTTCTAGAATTGGCAATTTAATGACTTTGGTTAAAACTTAGCAGGAATGTAGTTGAATGCCTTGTTGTTATATTCAAACAATTGTCATTATTTGCACATTTTATTCTCATAATTTCTCATTTTCTTAATATTCCAGTTTTCCACAACATCTGGGAAGATTTATAAGGTATACTACATTTAGGCAAAAATAACTCCCAGGGAATAGTCATTGTCAAGAGCAGTTTGTATTACAACCCACAAGGTAAGTCTTTTTTATAACTTTTTATAGTAAATTCTGGCAATGGAGAAATTAGTTGAGATCCAAATCTTACAAACCTTTTGAAGTTTCTGTTTATGTAAAAAAGTAAGATAAAAATAACTTGCAAAAATGAAAAATAAATCCATTCTAAAAGTGTTTCTCATACAGCATTCTCTACATAAGCTCAAGTGACAAACATTTGCAGTTTTCAACTCAATGTAAGTAATATGAAAATGCAAAACTGGCACTTATTTGCATTTTGCTTTTCTTTTAAAAGTTATTAACACATTAGCATCTCTTTATATTTGGTATTATGCATATAGAGCATTTATTTCAACTGGCAGTATTCTAGTAGTTTTATTCGCACGTGTATTTGCAGCCCATATTCTTATAAATCTGGAGTTGTATTAAATATTCCAAGTTGGTGGTGGATTCCTTGGTCCTTTGGGTTTTGAAAAACGGTTTGCAAAACCTGGAAACAAAAATAAAGTTGAATGAAAAGAAAGATGTTTTAAATATAGAAATGAATACTTGGCTTTTAGAGTATATTATATGCAAATACGTGAACTTTGTTAAAGGTTAGGCAGTATCTTGACCAATTTAGTAATAGATTGTTAAGGCATTATAGTAATCTAAAGTTTAAATGATAACAGAATACTAATAACACTTTAAATTTGATGAGCACTTACAAATTTAATAATGGTAATAATAGGATGAAGCACACTGGTTATATATAGCTTTTGATAATTTAGTATATAATATCATTTATCTATGACTTTTTGTCATCCACTCCTAACCATCAAACGAAGCTGGGAAATTTTAATTTCACAAAAATATAGCACCATTACTTATAACATTATTGTATTACATCCAGTTATACCTCTATGTCGATCCAGAAATCCTTCAGTTATACTAAGAGATTATGTTTGGAAAGCTTAGAAAAAATAAACAATCCTGAAAAACTAAGTAGGTAAGTATCATTATTATTTATCTTTATTCTTCAAACTTGTTCACCCTACCCCACCCCAAAGAGGGGAAGATGAGGAAATTTTCACAACTACTTAAGGCTATTTTTGGATGTTTTCAAAAGATGTGCAGGTTGATGACGTTGGTTCTTTATCACTTTAGCAACATATGACTTTTATGACTTTTCTTTAATGGCAGTGTCTTTTTGTTTGAGATGGAGTCTCGCTCTGTCTCCCAGGCTGGAGTACAGTGGGGCAATCTTGGCTCACTGCAACCTCCGCCTCCCAAGTTCAAGTGATTCTCCTGCCTCAGCCTCTCGATTAGCTGGGATTACAAGCACCAGCCACCATGCCCAGCTAATTTTTGTATTTTTAGTAGATATGGGGTTTCACCCTGTTGGCCAGGCTGGTCTCAAACTCCTGACCTCAAGTGATCCACCTGTCTTGGCCTCCCAAAGTGCTGGGATTATAGGTGTTAGCCACCATGCCAGGCCTAATGGCAGTGTATTTTTAAGTTATCTTACACTTAGCAACTTTAGGGGTTTAAAGTGAGAAATGAAAGGTTTGAAGTGCAGGAGAATAATAAAATGGAAAACTCAAAGATATTCCTAAAACTTTAATTTCATCATCATACAAATTGTATTATCTTACAAATTGATGTAAGGATCAAATGAGGTATTTGTGTAAAAAGCGATTGGGGTGGGGTGCAGTGGCCTGTAATCCCAGCATTTGGAGGCCTATGCAGGAGGAATTGCTTGAGCCCAGGAGTTCAAGACCAGCCTGGGCAAATTAGTGAAACCCTGTCTCTACAAAAAAATACAAAAAAATTAGCTGGATGTGGTGGCTTGCACCTCGGGTCTCAGATATTCAGGAGGCTTAGGTAGGTGGATCATTTGGGCCCAGGGAGGTCAAGGTAGCAGAGAAAAAAAAAAAAAAACAACACCAAAAAAAAAAACAGCATCCAGCACAATGCCTGGCACATAGTAAGTACTCAAATGTTGCTCAGGTCAGTCATGGTGGCTCACACCTATAATCCCAGCACTTTTGGAGGTAAGTTTGGAGGATAGCTTGAGGCCAATAATTCACATAGTAACTACTCAAATGTTGCTTAAATTTCAACCTTGAAGCCAGACACAATGGCTCATACCTGTAATCCCAGAACTTTGGGAGGCCGAGGTGGACGGATTACCTAAGGTCAGGAGTTGGAGACCAGCCTGGCCAACATGGTGAAACCCCATCTCTAGTAAAAATACAAAAATTAGTTGGGCATGATGGCAGGCACCTGTAATCCCAGTTACTCAGGAGGCTGAGGCAGGAGAATTACTTGTACTTGGGAGGCCAAGGTTGCAGTGAGCCGAGATTGCACCACTGCACTCCAGCCTGGGCAACAGAGCAAGACTTGGTCTCAGAAAAAAAAAAAAAAAAAAAATCAATCTAGAAAACTATGCCAGAAATGGAAGAGAAGGAGGGTAGGGAAGGGGAACAAAGGCACATTCAAATTTATTAATGGTGGTGATTTAAAAAAAATTGGTGGAGGGGACATACAGCCTAGTTCATGTACATTTTACTCTTCTGAGTGGTAAAAAAGAAGATGGAAGGAATACTTCTGGTTAAATAGTTTCACACACAATAGTCAGAATCATCCTGTCAGTACAGATCACTTGATTGTAACCCAAGTGAATTAGGAGTAGAGATAAGGACATATGTTAGTACTGAGTACCTAAAATTTTAGGAATACCTATATTCAGTCTCTTTCACAGATCAATAGTTTAAAACAGTTTCAAGCTACCTTTTTTTTTTTACATGGGAGCCAATTCAGGGAAAATAAACTTGAACCCCAAATTTTTTATTCAGATTTAACTACTTTTTTGAGTAACATGCCCTTAAATTGATGTTGCCTGAAAAAAGTAAGTGCTGATTTTTTGGGGTTTTTTTCCAAGACAGAGTCTTGCACTGTCACCCATGCTAGAGTGCAAGTGGCGTGATCACAGCTCACTGCAGCCTCAACCTCCCGGGCTCAAGTGATCCTCCCACCTAAGCTACAGGCACATGCCACCATGCCTGGCTAGTTTAAAAAAAAAAAAAAATTGTAGAGACATAGTCTCACTGTGTTGCTTAGGCTAGTCTCAAACTCCTGGCCCCAAGCAATCCTCCCTCCTCAGCCTCCCAAAGTGCTGGAATTACAGGCATTGAAAGTGTTGCTTTTTAAGTAGATAAAATGTTCAAATTTAGGCATATCTGAGAGGAAGCAACATGGAGGCAGCTCTCTAATATTTTATCCTCACATTGGATTATGTAGACTGTTGTTAAGCTAGGTAGGCCTAGAGTTACTCAAGTTGTATCACTGATTTAGAGTAAAGAAGGAAGCAGAGAAAATTTGTGTTCCAGGAAAAGTTGGGAGCTTTTTCCTTTTTCTTTTTAAATGAGATGGTCTCGTTATGTTGCCCAGACTGGTCTTCAACTCCTGGGCTCACGGGATCCTCCCACCACTACCTCCCAAAGTGCTGGGATTACAGGCATGAGCCACCATGCCTGGCTTGCTTTTTTCATAGTTTATACAATATTCTATGTAAATGTTTTAGCTAAATGATTTTACATAAATTATACATTTTTTAAATTATAAATTTTTTTTTGAGACGGAGTCTCACTCTGTCGCCAGGCTGGAGTGCAGTGGCACGATCTCAGCTCACTGCAACCTCCAACTCCCTGATTCAAGTGATTCTCCTTCTTCAGCCGCCTGAGTAGCTGGGCTTACAGGCATGTGCCACCATGTCCAGCTAATTTTTTATTTTTAGTAGAGACAGGGTTTCACCATGTTGGCCAAGATGGTCTCAATCTCCTGACCTCGTCATCTGCCTCCCTCAGCCTCTCAAAGTGCTGGGATTACAGGCATAAGCCACCACACCCGGCCTAAATTATAACTTGTTAAACCTTAAAGTTAATGAAATCCAAACAAAATTTTGTGGCAAAAAAGGCAGATCCAGAGATTTTAGTTAAACATTTTGTGAAGATGACATAGGGATTCTAACTTAAGTGTGGCAGAGATTGCTACTTGTCCACCAATATCTTTCTTTGCTTCTTCCTCAAATAGAATTGTATGTAGGCAATTTTATTTGCCCAACAATATTACATTTCCTAATCTCTTTTGCAATTTAATTATAGCATATGTCTAAGTTCTCATCAAGAAAATATGAGCTGATATAATCTGGCCATTTCCAGGCCAGTGCCTTTGAAGACCAGAAGAGTAAGAAGAGGAGGCCACACCTCCACTTTTTCCTGTTTTCTTTCCACCTGCAGTCTGGAGATGGTAGCAACCCAATTTGATCTTCTAAGTAAAGACAACACCATTAAGCGGCAGTTCTCAAAGTGTGATTCAGGGACTCCTAGAGGCTTCACACTCTTTTAGGGTGGTTTTGGTTAATAACAATTTTTAGTAGTAATAGCCTACCACTAATTGCTATTCTGCTTACAAAAAATTATACATGATACTACTTGAAATAGTATTATAAATATGTATCACATAGAATAATAGAATACTTAGAATAATAAAAAATTATCATTTTAAGTTTATAGCATATACTTATGAGCAATTGGGTAAGCAAACCTTAAAACTGTCAGAATTGTGCTTTATTTCCTAATGTTAAATTAGTTATATAAGATTAGACAGTGGCAACTGCTGTTCTTTTTATCATACTTGTATGTTTTTTATAAATTTGTTTTAGATATGAACCGGAATATCACAGCATCTCAATTTTTTCATTGGGCTAGTCATATTTATTTACTACATGCCAACACAATAATTTGGTTACCTAGCTTTATTTTTCACATATACTAGGTAATTCTGTGTGACATGTTAAGAGGTAGTTAAGGTTAAAAATAAAAAGATAAATTGCATGGAAAAGAATATAAACATGAGGAACTATACATGCAACCTAAAATCATATTTAAATTTGAATCTGTTATACTGTAAATGGGTAATTTTTTAACTCTTCTGTAAAATAACACACATACCAAAATTGAGAAATGAGCTGGAGTTACTTGACTGAACAGATTCTGCAGGCTTGTTTGGTGGGCAAGAATTACAGATACCTAGAATCAAAAGAAAAAATATAAGGGAAAGACTAAAGACAGACTCAGATGACAGTTGATCAGATCACACATAATTGTTAAGAGTAATTAATAATCCCAAATAAACATATCACTGTCAAATGTCAACAAAATATAGGTGCTTACAAATGAGTTGACACTACAATATTCTCATTTGTATTTGTGTTTTTTTCTTAAAAGGTGTCTTTCCTTTGCAAACAATTTATAGTAAAGCCCAACACTAAAGAAATTTGCCAAAGAAATAAGATCCAATATATCATAAATCAGCTTGAAATTCACATTTTGGCTTTGGATTTCACATTACTTTTTCCTCTGACCACTCTTAGTACATTTTTACATCATTTATTCTCCACAATATTTCATTCATGACAAGTCTGTTATTTTTTTTTATTTAATCCCCTACCCTGGAATCTCTTTTTTTCATTCCACTTTCCAGCCTGATTTTTCTCTAATTATAGGTGATTCTAATACAGGCCTCATAACCTGGCATGGTGACTCATGCCTGTAATTTCAGCACTTTGGGAGGCTGAGGCGGGCAGACCACTTGAGGCCAGGAGTTCGAGACCACCCTCCCCAACATGATGAAACCCCGTCTCTACTAAAAATACAAAAAAATTAGCCAGGCGTGGTGTTGCACATCTGTAATCCCAGCTACTTGGGAGGCTGAGGCACAAGAATTGCTCAAACCTGGGAGGCAGAGGATGTGATGAGCCCAGATTGCACCACTGCACTCCAGACTGGGTGACAGAGCAAGGCCCTGTCTAAAAAAAAACATAATAATAATATTTAATAATTATTATTATTATTTAGGTCTATAATCTCCCAAAAGCATTGTTATGCTGCTTTGTTTTGCTATTTTAGTTACTTAGAGGTATAAGTTAATTTATAAGTTACTTATAGGTCATATATATACATTGATATATTCATGTATCAGTGTCTGCAGTTTTGAAAACAGTCCCTTAAAAAGTTTGTCCACATTTTACACATGCTCTATCTTAGCAATGGAAAAAGATAATTTAGGTTTGTATAAACTTTCTAACAAATAGCATATAAGTGGGAAGATATTGGTAAGTATTTTTGTTTTTGTTTTCAGCATTTTCAGAATGCACTGTGAGAACAACAACATATGTGTGTTTGCACATGTATACCTAATATTAGGATTCTAGAAACACCTTCACTTTCCAGAGGGTACCTGAGTATGAATCACTGGAATGCATACTGAATTTCAATCAGGTCCATTTAAAATACATATTTATTTTATACTTACAATATTACTATAGTAAGTATAATTACTATACTTAATATATTAAATTCTTAATATAAAGTATAAGTATAAAATACTTAATAAAATACTATTCATATTTAAATACTTACTATGTACTAAGGATTGGTCTAGGCACGGAAGATAGAGACGTGAATATAAAGTGAGTAAAGGTGAGGAAGTTTAGGAGTTACCAGTAATCTCTAAACTGCATAGGAGCTGAAAGTTATATATATCCTTCAGAAAGAAAACAACTGTCCCAAAGGATAATATTGGTCTTTTACAGAGGAGGCACAGATTCCACATATATATATCAGAGGAAACTGCTATTTTGTATTTTGGCTCATTATGGACATTTTTATGCTACCTGCCTAACCTTCATTCCCTCTTCTGATAATAGAACTTGAATTTTTCTTTAGGAAACTACTCCTCCACAATTTTCAGTTTCCGTGCTTCCAGTGGAGCTGATTGTACCTTTAGATTAAGGAAATGACCTATAACTAGGGCTGATTTTCAGTTAGTATATTGGCATGGTCACACCAGATGTATAGGTTTGACCTCATTCCTGATTGGACAGTGTCCACATGTAACAAGTGTTAAATATTAAGGTATGACACTAACCTGCCTAATCAGAACATTGACTATACTGGCAATAATTGGTTCAGGGATGAGCAAACGAGCCAAGCCGAGACAGTCAGACCCTGTTGGCACTAGTCATCACAATGTGGTTTGAAAACCAAGAAATAGTTATTTTTTTCCCCTTATAAGCCTGCCTTTGAATGAGCTAACACAGAGTGAGACTAAGCTGAGAGACATTAAATGAGAGATTAGGTTCTGATTTCATCATTTGGACCATTGTTACAAGCCAGTATATATTCCCCTTTTCTGCTTAAGTCAGCTTAAGTCAGGTTTTCTGTCACTTGCAACTAAAGGATTTGTGACAAAGTTTCCCACCAAAAGTTGGTATCAGGCATCACAGTTGACAGCTTCCACTCTTGTCATTCTGTAATTCATTCTTTATATAGCAGCTAGCATGATCGTTTTATACTTTTCTGTGAAACATTTAAAAATAAATAGAAAACAAAGTATAAAACATCTCTGCATGAAACCCTATTATGGCTTCCCACTACACTTAGAATAAACTAAACTACTTACCATGCATGACCCATAAGAATCTAACTATTCCTCCCTGATCTTTCCAGCCTTGCCTTATTCCTGTCTCCTCCTTACCTACTACTATGTAGCTAAGATGTCTTCCTTTTGAATTTCTACAATAAACCGAATTCTTATACCTCAGATATTTTGTTCCCTCTATCTGAAAAACTCTTCTCTGGACCCTTTGGCTGGCTGACTGCTCCTTCATGTTTCAGGTTCAATTGTCACTTCCTTAAAAGGGTTTCTGGACGACTCATTCTAAAGTGGATTCCCTTTGTTATCCTCTCATAGTTACCCTTTTGTTTTCCTTCATAGCATTATCATGTGTTATATGTATGTATTTGTGAATTTGTTTAATGTTGGAATCCTTCACCAAAATTAAGTTCCACAAAGGCAGAGCCCATATCTGTTCTGTTCACCATCTTACAGTGAACAGTGTAAGTACCTTACAGAATGCCTGGAACACGGTAGACACTCAACAAATATTCATTGAATGAATAAATGAATGACACTAGGCCTAGATACTAGCTTAAAATAATAGATGGAGAATCCTAATTTCGTTAAAAGTAGGACCAGCTTTACAGTCCAGTGGGAGATCCAGGCTACAGGAAGAACACATGGAATTCCAGAATCATGACCCATCTGGAAGGGGCTGAGGACACATATGAAGTACAGTCTAAAGCTTCAATTTTGGGGGCCAGGATCAATTTTGGGGCCAGATGTTGTTTTTCATTTAAGGGCAAAAGACCAGAGGATCAAGGTAACTGAAAAATACAGCACAGCCTAGATCCAGAGAATGAACTGAGAGCTCTTTCTTAGAAATAAGACTTAATCTCCGAAAGTTCCACCATATCTTAAAAGCTGTGCCAACCTAAATCTACCTGTAGTTTCTGTTTCTTTGCTTGATACTCTAGGCAGGGTTGGAGCTGGGGAAAGAAAACTGTTAGAAGAGTTAGGCTGATCAAACCAATCTCTGGTTGACTGTTTAAGTCACTCAGTTCTTTGTACTTGGTTATTTTCTTTCCCCTGTTTCCTACCATAATTTCCTTTTGAAATGTTTGAATTCTCTTTTGACTGTCTGTAGGAGAAAAGGTATATTTTCCAACTATACTTCAGCCATCATAAGAAAGAAATCAGTTCATGTCAGAGATCAGCTATGATGGCAATGATAGCAAACTAGCTCAAGAACCTGGAGTTTTTGGGTAGGCAAACAGAATGAAAACCCAAAAGGAAAGCTTCTTTCTTACACTATGCCTTAAATCAGATTTTCTCAGTACTTTCTGTCTCTCCCCTATTCAGTGATTAACCAAACGGCTCAAAAAAAAATTAAGTATATCACCATGGTTTTTAAATTTTATATTTGTAAATAAGATTTCTAAGATAATTTCCCAGAGTTTCAGGACTCAGTGGAATTTATTTTCATTACAATATAATAAAATTAGTAAGCAACAGATTTTTATTGCTAATACTTGGTAAAAATGGAAATATATCAATCCTTTGCTTATTTCATGAAGTTAACATATTTGTTTCACAATATGCTTTGCTGTGACTATTTCCAAAAAATACAACTGAGGTGAGACTCCTGGAAATTTTAAATAACACAATTGTATGACAGCACCTTAAGAGGGGTAGAAAGTGCCAAACATTGGCCGGGTGCAGTGGCTTACACCTATAATCCCAGCACTTAGGGAGGCCGAGGCGGGAGGATCACTTGAGCCCAGGAATTTGTGACTAAGCTGGGCAATATGGTGAAACCCCATCTGTACTATTAAAAATAAATTTTAAAAAGATATTTAAAAAAATTTTAATGGCAAACATTGTACTAATTATTATTCTTATGTATTAAACAGAATTCTCCTTGCCTGCCCAACATTAGCACTGTGAAGCCTAGCCAAAAAAAAAAGGCCTAGGGCTGATTGTTCTGATTCGTAGGATCCTAGGGAGGCTCTGTTTAGGAATAATATTGTTAATCTTTTCAAAATATTGGTTGGTTATATAAAGAAAAATTACAAAATTGAGAAAACAATATTTTAAAACATAAATACCAACTTACTCTTTTTCATGTTTCGCAAAATTTTCAAACTCTACAAAAGTGAAGAAAGGGAAAAATGTTAGTTTTTTTCCTGTGAAGTTTGAAATACTTCAATCAAGTAGAATAGAGACTTGAGTGAAAGGAATTAATTTCCTTATAAAAAGCCATGAAAATGTACATAGTTATTTTTCCATCTTGCCATTTTTAATTCAGTACAAAATCTCCACTTGATTTTATCTTGCTATTTATATCACCCATGCAAGTATCACATTACATATTTTGAAATAATATTATCAGAGGCTGAGCACAGCAGCTTACACCTGTAATCCCAACACTTTGGGACGCTAAGGCAGGAGCACTGTTTGAGCTGAGGAGTTTAGGACCATCTTGGGCAACATAGCAAGACCCCCATCTCTACAAGAAGTGAAAAAAAAATTAGCTGAGTGTGCTGGCAGCTACTGGGGAAGCTGAGGCAGGAGATCTGCTTGATCCCAGGAGTTCAAGGCTGCAACGAGCTGTGATCTCACCACTGTGTTCCAGCCTGGGCGACAGAGTGAGAACGTGTCTTTTTAAAAAGATTGTTTTTTTAAAAATTATTCTATCAGACTATTGACAGGGATAGGGGGTGCTGGCAAAGTGGCTCATGCTTGTAAATCTAGCACTTTGGGAGGCTCAGGTAGGAGTTTCCTTTGAGGCCCAGGGTTTAAGACCAGACTGGGCAACATGGTGAGACTCTATCTCTACCAAAAATTTTAAAAAGGTAGGCATGGTGGTGCAGACCTGTGTTCCCAGCCACTTGAAAGGCTGATGCAGGAGGATCACTTGAGCCCAGGGGGTCAAGACTGCAGTCAGCCATATTTATGCCACTACACTCTAACCTGGGCAACAGAGCAAGACCCTGTCTAAAAAAAAAAAGGTAAGGAGGAAGGAACTCAGGGGGTAGAGGAGATGAAATTCCTACTTCTCTCCTTTATTAGGACCATTTCAGAACTTAAAATGGCTTCTGAATGTATCCATGTTACACAGCCATTTCAATTCTAGCGAAGAATTTTTGCCAGTAATATTCTATATTAAACTTACTAAGGCCTCCTTCATACTGTTAGACGTACTTCCTTCTCTCACGTTTATGCTGGAGTCTCTAAGTTATCTTTTCAAGGAACCTACCCAAATGTCTTTGCTCCACATTTCTTCAGCATATATATTTTTAATCTGCTTCATGACATTTTATTCCTCTTGATAATTTTCATGTTCCTCAAAGATGTGCTACTCCAGCAGATTAACTATACTGTTTTCAAGGGCAAATAGTTGTCCTTTATGACATTTCTATTTTCCTAACACCAAACAGGAATGTGTTTTTCCATGGAATAGATATTTAATAAAGTCTTTCTTTGTAACGTTTTTAGGGTTTTTTTTAAAATAGATGATTTATTTACAAGTCAGAAAATCCTAGTAAAAATGGTCCCATCCTTGTCTTCAGTCTACTCAGTTTCTAATGCTCCTCCTGTAGATAACCACTATTAGTTTTTTATCCTCTGTACTTAGCATCCTTCCAGAGTAACTTATGAATATATAAGTAAATGCACATATGTATTATATTCCTCTTTTTAAATAAAAGTTAATAAATTATATATAAATATATTGAGAAAGTCCTAATACTTTTTTAGCTGTACAGTATTCCATTTGTATGGATATACCATGATTTATTTAATCAGTTCCCCTAACAATTAACACTATTAATTATGTTGTTTCCAGTCATCTGCTCTTATAGATAATGCTGCAGTGAATACTTGGTATACATGTCATTTCATGTGTATGCAAGCATATTTGTAGGATAAATTTCACTTATAGTGAAATTATTGAGTAGAGGGTATATGCATTTGTAATTTTGATATTGCTAAATTTTCCTTCGTAGAAGTTGTACCAGGCTAGGTACAGTGGGTCTCACCTGTAATCCCAGCACTTTGGGAGGCCAAGGCAGGAGGATAGCTTGATTTCAGAAATTGGCAACATAGAGAGACCCCATCTCTAATTTTTAAAAAAAAATTTTTTTAAAGAAGTTGTACCACTTGACATTCCCACCAACAACATTGAGTGTGCTCATTTCCCCATGGCCTCCCTAACAGATAATATAATCAAACTTTGGGAATTTGCCATTCTGATAGATGAAAAAATAATATGTCACTGTGGTTTTAATTTGTAATTTTTTCATTATGAATGAGATTGAACATATCAGATGTTTAAAGGGCACACATGCTCATTTATTTTCTTCAGACCATCTGATCACAGATTTTTGCCCATTTTTATTTTGTGGTTATTATTTTCTATGAATTTCTTCTTCTTTTTTTTTGAGATGGAGTCTTACTTTGTCACCCAGTCTGGGGAGTGCAGTGGCGCGACCTTGGCTCACTGCAACCTCTGCCTCCTAGGTTCAAGTGATTCTCCAGCCTCAGCCTCCTGATTGGCTGGGATTACAGGCACATGCCACCATGCCTGGCTAATTTATGTATTTTTAGTAGAGGCAGGGTTTCACCATGTTGGTCAGGCACCCGCCTTGGCCTCCCAAAGTGCTGGGATTACAGGCATGAGCCACTGTACTCGGCCTATTTTCTAACAGTTCTTTATATATTAGGGTAACAATCCCTTTGGCTGTGGTGCCAGTTGCAGACTTTTTTTTTTTTCTCAAATTTGTTCTTTGTCTTTTGATTTTTAAGGTGATTGTTTTGCCATCCATAAATTTTCTGTTTTATTTAGCTGAATTTATCTATTTTCTTACAGCCTCTGGATTTTGAGTCATAGTAACGGTCATTCACACTCTCAGGTTATAAAGGACTCTTTCCAAGTTTTTTGTTTGTTTGTTTGTTTGTTTCTGAGACAGAGTCTCAGTCTGTCGCCTGGGCTGGGCTGGAGTGCGGTGGCTTGATCTCGGCTCACTGCAACCTCTGCCTTTTGAGTTCAAGCGATTCTCCTGCCTCAGCCTCCCGAGTAGCTGGGATTACAGGCACCCACCACTATGGCCAGCTAATTTTTTGTATTTTTAGTAGAGACGGGGTTTCACCATGTTGGCCAGGCTGGTCTCGAACTCCTGACCTTGTGATTTGCCTGCCGCAGCCTCCCAAAGTGCTGGGATTACAGGAGCGAGCCACTAAGCCTGGCCTCTTTCCAAGTTTTTTAAGGTCTCTGTGTTTTTGTTTCTGTTTTTTTAACATTTAAATCTTTTACCCATTTAGAGTTTATTCTGGTATACATGTAAGGAGGATGCCCTGCTTTTTTTTCAGGTAGTTAGCTATTTGATCCAACAATAGTTATTAAACCATCCATCTTTATCCCCTGATTTGAGATACCACCTTCATTATATACTAAATTTCTACATATATTTGTATCTGTTTCAGAACCTTCCCTTTTACCCTGTTGGTATGTGTTTCTTTTTATACATTAATATCATGCCTATATTTTTTTTTTATTTTTTTTTTTTTTTTTTTTTTTTTTTTTTTTGAAATGAGGTCTCACTCTGTCACCCAGGCTGGATTGCAGTGGTGTGATCTCTGCAGCCTCCACTTTCCAGGCTCAAGCAATCCTCCCACCTCAGCCTCCTGAGTAGCTGGGACCACAGGCAACACCAACATGCCCGGCTAATGTTTTGTATTTTGGTAGAGATTGGGTTTTGCCATGTTGCCCAGGCTGGTCTTGAATCCTGAGCTCAAGTGATCCACCTGCCTTGGCCTCCCGAAGGCTGGGATTACAGGCATGAGCCACAGTGCCTGGCCTATCATGCCATTTTAATTGAGGCTTTACCATATTTGAATATTTGCTAAGGTGACTTTCTTTCATTGCTTTTCTATTTATTCATTTTTATTTTAAAAATTATTTTAGACATTTAAACTATTTTTATTTTTATTTTTATTTTTATTTATTTGCAGATTTCTGACTACTTTTGCTTCCCCCTACTCCCATATGAACTTTGAAATCAGTTTGTCTAGTTCCAGAAATAAACAAGTTGGTAGTTTCATTGGGCATCTTTTACATTTATAAATCAACCTTAGGGAGTAATTGATTCTTTTTTTCTTCATTTAGTTTTAGTTTTAGTTTTTAATTTTTATTTTAGGTTCAGGAGTATATGTCCTGGTTTGTTATATAGGTAAACTGCATGTCACAAGGGTTTGCTGTTCAGATAATTTCATCACCCAGGTAATAAGCATAGTACCCAATAGGTGTTTTTTCTGGTCCTCTCTCTCTGACAAATGAATCTTTAAGTTGTATTTTTTCTTCTTTTTGGTTTCTTTCTATTAATTTCGATTGTTATAATATCAATAATTAGTTTTAGTAAAGATATTTAATCTAATTTTCCATCTTAATGCTGGGGAGGCGGAAAACTTTCAGTAAGGGAAATCCCCTGGCATGTTTCCCAAAACTCTTATCTTCTTTACCTTACTCCTTGTGAAAGTTTTTCCAGGAGTCTTCAGTGTCTGTTTTGAAGATGTTGAATTTTCCATGGTGTCAGGACAGCTAGTAGAATATGTTTCTATAGATTGGGCCTGCATACCTTAAGAAAAAAAAAAAGGAGTGACTATATATTATGGGTTTTTAAAATGTATTGTTTATGATTTTTTTTAGAGAAAGTACTACCACTTACAATCTTCATCGGCAAGAATGAAGGACTCTAGAGTTCTTTCTGGGAGAGGAGGTGGGGGAGAAGAACGATCTTGATGTAGTTCTGTGATAAGAAAGTACAGAGAAATCTATGAATTAAAAGTCAAAAGTCAACACCCTTTTTGGCTTTATATAATTTTTTAAAATCAGTCAATCTTAACCTACAATCACCAAATAAAAAATTATCTGAAAAATGAATGGAGCCTCAGGAACTTTGTTTTTCTACCTTGTTAGCCAATAAGCTTATGATTCATCAAAAATGTATAGCTCACTTAGAATTATTCTTCCAAAGACACTGAAACTGAATATAATCAAACTTCTAGAGCTAACAACCATTTTGCATGAATGTTGGGGATAGGGGAACATGTTAAATAAAACCATCACGATACAATTAGCCAAATCCAGAATGTTAAGCAGTCTTTTAAGACAAATGACCAACTCTCTTCAACAAATAAATGGTGTGAAAAAGTATAGAAAGGAGAACTGTTATATATGTTAAAAGAAAATATAAAGAAAGGAGAACTGTTACAGATTTCAAGACAGATTTAAGAAGACAAACATATAAACCAAATGCAATGTTTAGATTTTGTTTGAATTCAGATTTGAATAAACCAACTGTAAAAAGACATTTTTGAGACAATTAAAAACTGAACAGTCTGGATATTAGTTACTGTCAAGGAATTATTATTAATTTTATTGGTGTGATAATGCTATCATGCTAGGTTTTAAATGTGTATTTGAAATTTTCCATAAAATGAAGATTTTCAATAATGGACATATTCTCCCATGATGTAAATTTCTCAAAATACAGATGGTATTCTACCAACATAAGCATCTCATTGTATAGTGCTGAGTATTATTGTTATATTAATTCCTTTTGAAAATGAAAATGCAGTAAAGTACAAGAGGTTCACATGTCATTGGTCATTAGGTTTGTTTAGTTCTTAGAGTTTGTCTTATCAATAGTGTTACTTCTCACATGCTGGGTAATACACAAAAGTACAGTACTTATTTCTAGCACCAAATAAAATAACTGGCGTACAATAGACATTTAATAAATACTTAATAACTACTCTGAAGTAGTTCATTATCTCCCAGTTTGCTGTTAGGAGTATTCTGAAAACTAAAGTTGTTCGTTAACAATCTTCTAGTAAATATCTCCCTAAAATACCATTTCATCTTAATACTCCCCTGACAAAGAACCCATAACACCTCTTATTTACGGCATTAAATCTAAATTCCTCTGCCTAACTTTGGGTGTATGTGGTAAAATATGCATAAGATTTGCCATTAGTGACATTTAGCATATTCACGGTACTGTACAATCATCACCACTATTTAGTTCCAGTACATTTTCATCACCCTAGAAGGAAACTCTGCACCCATTAAGTTGTCGCTCTCTATTTTCCTCTTTCCCTTGGCTCCTGGCAATCATTAATCTGCTTCTGTCTTTATGGATCTGTCTATCCTGGTTATTTCATCTGACTAGCTTTTATAAGTCCTTCAGAATCCTGCTCCACATCTTATTTGCCCAAATTTAATTTCTATATTTCACAAACTAGAATATCTATTGCAATAAAAAATAAATTACTCAGCTGGGTAAGGTGGCTCACACCTGTAATCCGAGCACATTGGGAGGCCAAAGCAGGCAAATCACCTGAGGTTGAGAGTTTGAGACCAGCCTGACTAACATGGAGAAACCCCCATCTCTACTAAAAATACAAAATTAGCTAGGCATGGTGGGGCATGCCTGTAATCCCAGCTACTTGGGAGGCTGAGGCAAGAGAATTGCTTGAATCTGGGAGGTGGAGGTTGTCGTGAGCCAAGATTGCGCCATGGCATTCCAGCCTGGGCAACAAGAGCAAAAATCCATCTCAAAAAATAAAATAAAATAAAAAATAACCTATTCTCCATACACATCATGCTCATTTCTACCTTTGAGTCACTGTTAGGCTGATCCCTGTTGCTGGAATTCCCTCCTTTTTTCTGTCTATAGAAATTATTTAAAGTTCTTTCTTCCACTCAGAGAAGCTTTTCCAAACCCTTTCAGTTATGGCATCCTGTTTTTCCAGATTCCTGGTGATTATAGCTAGTGCCACACAGATTATCACTTAGTAGTTCCATGTGAGTATTAATTTTATCTACATTTGAATATAAGCATTAAGTAGTACTCTTTCTTATACATCCTGCCTATTCTAACACTGTGTAAGGTACACAGAAGTGGCTTAGTAAAATGCTCATTTAATGATGAATAAAAATTATAATTTATAATATTTAAGGAGTATTTATTTGACAAGCACTGGGCTAAAAGCTTTATGGCATTATCTTATTTAATCCTCATAAAAATTATCTAAGGGATTCTATTATTCTACTTTTATAAATGAGAAAAGCAGATAGAGAAAGTAGGTAATTTAACCAAGGTTACACATTTTGATAATTCTTCATAGACTGGGGATTTGAGTTAAAGCCTATCTGACTCTAAAGCCCATGTTTTTGTTATCATTTTTGGGGAGGGGTTTTGTTTTGTTTTGTTTCGTGATGGAGTCTTGCTCTGTCACCAGGCTGGAGTCCAGTGGCAAGATCTCAGCTCAGTGCAACCTCCACCTCCCAGGTTCAACCAATTCTCCTGCCTCAGCCTCCAGAGTAGCTGGGACTACAGGCGCACACCACCATGCCCAGCTAATTTTTGTATTTTTAGTAGAGATGGGTTTTCACCATGTTGGCCAGGATGGTCTCCATCTCTTAAACTTATGATCTGCCCGCCTTGGTCTCCCAAAGTGCTAGGATTATAGGTGTAAGCCACCGCGCCCAGCCTATTATCATGTTTTTTAGAGACATCATCTTGCTCTGTCATCCAGGCTGGGTGCAGTGGTGCCATCATAGCTCACTGCAGCCTTGAACTCCTGGCAAAGCCCATGTTTTTTATGTTATCTGTTTATGTGTTTGAACAATGTGACAATATGAATAAGTATGTTAAGGGCAACTACCACCTGTGATAATGTAAACAAAGTTTACATTATCAAATTAATTTGTTCTTCAATGCATAAAAGGCAAAGCTTAGGAAAGTACTGGAGAGGCAACAGCCAACTAAAGAACTACGTGGCCAGAAATAATTTTTTGAATCACACTGTTAACAGTGGAAACATCTATATAATGGAAATGGTGCAAAATTTTAAAAGCTTCTCTCTGAAACAGTTTTTAAATGGTTATATATTAAGGAGCAGAATTCTAAAATCCTGTCTTCACCTTGCTTTTAACCAAATTTCTAGTCTGGGAAAACCAGAAATAAATCAATAAATACTGGAAGCTATTATGGGAACCAAGTAACTTCATGAGGTGAATTACTCTAAACTTAATGAACCTTTCTTAGAATCTTAGAGCTAAATGTCATCTAAAGCCAAGAGAAATTTTTACCTGATTTAGGACTTCGAAATTTTACACTCTAAAAGAAAAAAAGAAAGGAAAAGTGAAAGAAGAATATGTATACAAATTATAAAATTCAAAGCAAAAAATGGCATCTTTGAAATTATATTTCAGATAGTTTTGAAATATAGACCCTATTTTTCCTAACATGTAAGTGTGCTGAATTATGAAATAGCATCCTTCACTCTTACAATGATTTGTATATACCATGGCAATTAGTCCTAAGTTGATCCCCTTCTGACTTATTTCTGTCCCACCTAAAACATTTCCCTGGCCAGGTGCAGTGGCTCACGCCTGTAATCCCAGCACTTTGGGAGGCCAAGGTAGGTGGATCACAAGGTCAAGAGATCGAGACCATCCTGGCCAACACGGTGAAACCCCGTCTCTATGAAAAATACAAAAATTAGCTGGGTCTGGTGGTGCGCATCTGTAGTCCCAGCTGCTTGGAAGGCTGAGGCAGGAGAATCGCTTGAACTTGGGAGGCAGGGGTTGAAGTGAGCCAAGATCGCACCACTGCACTCCAGCCTAATGACAGAGCAAGACTCTGTCTCAAAAAAAAAAAAAAAAAAAAAAAAAAAAAAAAAAAAAAAACCTCAAAAAAAAAAAAAAAAAAAAAAATTCCCTGAAAATTTAGAGGTAAGGAGCAGAAATTGAAGTTGCTTCATAACATTGGAAAGAGTGATTGTTCTTTCCTCTGGGAGTTGTTAAGATAAATATGTGTGCCTATTATTAATGGCAATAATAATGATTACTAGTATGTTAGAATTATAATTTAAAAGGCAGATAATATTTGCTTATCAGCTTTGCAATTGTATGTTCTTGAAAATGTTTGTTTAATTATTTTTCTGATCTCTCAAATTTTAAGAGAATTGCTTCACAGAATACATAGAAATGTATAACATTTTTAGATACACTTTCCTCCAGAAGCAGGATACACTATTCTAAAAGGTTTATCTTAAGTAATATGCACACCTGTCATTCTCTGTAACATATTATCACAGCTAACAAGATACAGCCTGCCAAATGACTACAGTGAACAAGCTTCCTACTTAAGTATGAAACATTTATTTTTGCCTTAACTATCCTTCAAGAATCAGCTCAAATGTTTCCTCTTGCACTAAATCTTCCTTGATAACTTCCAACCTGGAGGCATCTCCCACACTTGAAATTCTTTATCTTTCATATGACATCGATCATATTGGCCTTGCTATAGTAAATATAGGAAAAATAAAGATGTGTACTCATCCTATATCTCTACTACTAGACAAGAAGCTTCTTACAGGCAAGAATTGTGTCTTATACATCTTTTTTATCCCAACATCCTCTAGCACATTGTTTTATATGTAGTATGTGCTTAGGATTTATTGAATGATGGGTATTAAAAATATAAGGAGTAGATCTGTAGTCTATTGAATTTAAATGAACAGAGCCATAAAAAAATTATTGACCTTGCTTTGTCTAAGTATCACAGAGTCATCAAATTTCTTTGGTCCAGATGTTCCACCCCATTCCAGTGATGTTCCAATTTTTACCTTCACAGCCGCGGATAAGGATTTGGGAACATTTGGTGAGAATTCTTCTGTAAGAAAGTGAATGTGGTTCAGTTCTTGGGAGTAGTCTTCTTTTATAAATCAAATGTTGCTCAGCAAATAGTACATAAAACATTGAAAGGATCTGAGAAGAAATCTAGTTAGTTCATACTTTATTTTATTTTTTGAGACAGGGTCTCACTCTTATCACCCAGACTGGAGTGCAGTGGCACAATCATGGCTCACTGCAGCCCCCAACTCCTGGAATCAAGTGATCCTCTCACCTCCACTTTCCAAGTAGTTGGGACTACATGTGCATGCTGCCATTGCTCTGCTAAATTTTTTAAAAAGTGTTTTTTTAGAGATGAGATCTCACCCATGTAGCCCAGGCTAGTCTTGAACTCCTGGCCTCAATGAACTCCTTGAACTCAAGGCTCCCACATCAGCCTCCCAAAGTCCTGGAATTAAAGGCATGAGCCACCATGTCCAACCCACACTTTATTTTATACTTACTGAACTGTACTCACCAGCTTCCTCAACCACAATAAATGATTCAGGTGTCCGTACAGGAAGTGGAGGGGGGATTTCATCATCTATCCTTGGAGCAGTTGCTATCCAAAATGTCAGAAATATGGTAACAATTGTTAATTAGAACAATCTGAAATAAATTTTTATATTCTAATAGTAAATACAAATTTACCATAATTTATATTTAAATTCCATTGACCCACCATTATCAGTAAGCTGGCACTTGTTCATTCAAGGAAAAAGCAAAATAAATTCTCTTAAGGTACAAACTCAGGAGGTTTTTGCTTATTCTTTAAAATTTATTGTTTGTTTTAAAAGCTCAAAAATATTTTGATTGAGTCACAGGGTGTCAGTTAACATAAAACATATTAATTTTGGAAGCTTTGAATTATCTTTTACATAACTCCTTTTGTTTTACATAGACTATACAATAAAGCATTATAAAGTGCTTTGACATGTCTTATACATTAATTAAAACATAAAAATTTTTAGTATTTCTTCACTATATACAAAATCCAAGAATATTGGCATTTTTCTGTTTTACAAAACAGTAGTATAGGATTGTTTTCTGTATTTCTATACAGAGTTTTTATTAAGCATTTTAAATGCTATTATAAGAAACTGCCACCAGATGGCACATGATGATATTTTTATAATCCCTTGAAAATAAGGGTTTGTTTTTTAATGCTGCAGATGCTCAGAGAAGTCTAAGGTATTTTGAGTATCTAGGAAAAGAAAATACATTTAAGTGTTTAAAAATGTATAAAATAATCACAGAAGGACCTTCTTAGATCCAGATAAAATATTTTGGCAACAAAGTTATAAATGATCTACACATCTATTTATTAAGAAACTCTATAATAAATAATGTTATAGAGCAAAAGTTTTCTCCACCTCCTATCTATGTGGAATGTGCTTTATGAATTATTTGATGATATACATAAGGAGTTAAAGTTGTTCTTTGCTTTCCCTCATTATCTTCCACATCAAATTATTGTAATCATCACAGGATGTTCATTTCTAATTTCCAACTAATCAGTAAAACAAAACAATATGCATTATATACAAAAATACAGAATTATAAAAGAGATAAAACATGAAAGTAAAGGCATACATAAGATAGAATTTTTCACAAAATACTAAACATGTATTCTCATCTACTAAATTTCTACGAAAGAGCAAGAAATCAGGTTGTCCTCTTCCAGCTCCTACAGGAAGAGAATTCAATTTTTAGCAATATGTTCAACTCATTATAGCCACACAATTGTGTAACAAAAATTCTGGGTGGCCATGTAGTGCTATTGATCAAATTTTTTTCTGCTCTTCTTTTGCGAGCTGGTTCTATATGTTAGGAGTAAATTCTGAAGCTAGGTGTGGCGGCTTGCACCTGTAATCCCAGCAGTTTGGGAGGCCAAGGTGGGAGGATTGCTTGAAGCCAGATGTTCAAGAACAGCCTGGGCAACATAGCAAGACCCAATTTCTAAAAAAAGAAAAATTAATCAGGCAGGGTGGCGTGTCCCTGTGGTCCCAGCTACTCAGGAGGCTGAAGTGGGAGGATCGCTTGAGCCCAGGACATCACGGCTGCAATGAGCAATGTTCATACCACTGCACTCAAGCCTGGACAACATAGTGAGATTCTGTTTCAAAAAATATTTTTGAAAAACAGTAAATTGTGGGCCTTTGATATACATTTCTAGGAGTGAGGCTTGCCTTCTTGAGAAGTGCTCCTGTTGGTACAGATCCTTTACCAGATCTTGATTGCCTCCATTGCTGCCTGTTTCATGGAATGTTACATGTTTCGTGTTGCTATTTTCAACTTAGTACATCATTAAAACACTCCCAGAATTTATTTATTTGAGGAGTAGCAGGAAGAAGAAAGGGAAGCAGAGGAGAAGAGGGAAGATGAAGAGAAACCAAATATTCTATAGAAACAAAGTGAAACCAAAATTCTATACAAACTTTAAAAAATAACTTACCTACTACAGCTGACTCTTGGTTCAGTAGTGGGGGAATACTGGTTGGAGAATTCAGTGATAAAGAATCATGTGAATTGCAACAAGAAAAGAGGGATGTAGAGGATGTTGGCAACAAAGAACAGGGCAAAACAGTTCCATCTTGCTTCTCAGGTAAATCAAGAGACATCTTAGAACCGGTACCACTTGGAGGCAATGTTGAAAAATAAGGATCTTCCGCTAAAGATATGTAAGAATATACACCAAGAGCACCGGAGTCACAGTGCTTTACATTAGAGACGTTACATATTTGGTGCTTAGATTCATACGGCAGTGAATAATTCAGTTCTGCTGAAGAAACGTGCATTACTTTTTGAGCCTGCATCTTTACAAAACAAGAATCCTGTGGTTGAGATTCCAAATAAGAAAAGTTTTCCTTGCCATCCAACTCCTTGGTTTCTGTCTGCTGTATCAATTCAAAAGGAGTTGATTTGGTCCGTGTTATTGGCACCTTTGAATTAAAATATCTTCCTGCTGCATTTACAGGTTTAGAATTAGAACATGCTTCAAACAAAATAGAGCCCAAATCTAAACTTTGATGCTTCTGAAGAGGTTCCCCAACTGTTGGAAATGCATTTGTCTGCCATTTCATGGTTGTGTCAGCATTTTTGTTGAAACCGTAATTTAGCTCCAGAAAGTCAAAAGAAGTGCTTAATTTAGTAGGATGCAAAACTAGCTCTTCCTCTGCACTTTTTTCAGAAGTCCTAGAGTCAAAGGAAGAAGATTCTGTGCTTTCCTTTTTTGTCCTTTGTTTGCTCTGTTGGTCCATCATTTTTGCTGCCTTTATGGCACTAAAACAAAAAGAAAGCATAATGATGATACCATACCCCAAACAGGCATCTTCCTAGCATCACAATGATGTATAAGTATGAGATTCATCTCCCAGACACAATTAGTCAACGTTTAGGTAAATAAAATTGTACTCACCTTTTTGGTAAATTAGGAGAGTAAGAGTCTGCTTGGAGAGTGTGATTTTGCTCAGGAATAGAATACTTTGCTTGACTCTTTAAAAGAAATAAGTCAGAGGCTGGTTTTTAGTGAAGCAATGTCAATGAGATATTTTAATATTTAGAAGGCTGAAAAGTAATTTTTCAGGAAATATAAATATTTAAAATAATTCATGAAAGGGTTAGATTAGCTTCCAAAATATTGAACTCAGCAAGAACTTGTTCATATACTGAGATGACCATAATAAAGGATTAATAGTGTTACAGAAACTAGAAAGGATTTGCATATATCATCATCTTTTCAAATGTGGGAGCTTTTAAAATGTTCTTTAGTGGGTAATTTCAGTCTCAAAAACACTCTTTCTTTAGAAATCTCAGCGTCTCAGCCCTTTATAGGTACCTAATAGGTCTCTGGACCTATTTCATCTTGTTCTACTCTTGTCCTTCTTACTATGCTCCAGGTATACTGGTTTTCTTGCCATTACTTAGAATGCCAAACTTATTTCCAAGTCAAGGCTTTTATACTTACTATTTTCCCTGATTAATATATTTTTGCTCCAAATTTTGCATGCCTAGCTTTTTCTAAATAATTAGATCTCTGCTTAACTGTTATCTGCATAAGGAAACCTTCCCTGATCACCCAACCTAAAATCATACTTCTGCCCCTATCCAGCCATACTCAATCTTCTTTTTTAAGAGACAGGGCCTCTCTATATTGCCCAGTCTGGCCTCAAACTCCTGGGCGTAAGCAGTCCTCCTGCCTCAATCTCCCAAGTAGCTGGGACACTATAGGTGTGTACCACAGTACCGGGCTTCAATCTTTTTTAAAAAAATAAGACAGGCTCTTGTTCTGTTGTCCAGGCTAGAGTGCAGTGGCACAAACATGGCTCACTGCAGCCTCAGTCTCCTGGGTTCAAGTGCTGTTCTCACCTCAGCCTCCCAACCTTTATTTTTATTTTTAAGACAAAGTCTCTCTCTATTGCCAGGCTGGAGTGCAGTGGTGTGATCTCAGCTCACTGCAACCGCCACCTTCCAGGTTCAAGTGATTCTCCTGCCTCAGCCTCCTGAGCAGCTGGGACTACAGGCACGTGCCACCACACCTAGCTAATTTTTGTATTTTTAGTAGAGACGGAGTTTCACCATGTTGGCCAGGATGGTCTCAATCTCTTGACCTAGTGATCCTCCTGCCTAGGCCTCCCAAAGTTTTGAGATTACAGGTGTAAGCCACTGTGCCCAGCCCAATCTTTATTTTTTATAGCAATTACCATATTATGAAATTTGTTACTGTGATTCATAGAATCTTAAGATACCATTGGTTATAAAATATATCTTCATTTCAGAGATGTTAAAATCCACTTTGAACATCTCAATTGATGCAGAAAAAGCATTTGATAAAATTCATGTTGAAATCACTTCACAAAATAGGAATATAAGGAAATTTTCTCGACATAATAGAGGCCATATATAAAACCCATAACTAACATTATATTCAATGGTGAAAGGCTTAAAGCTTTTCCCCTAAGATCAGGAGCAAGACAAGATTGCCAACTTTCACCACTTCTGTTCAACATAGTACTAAAGTTCTACTCAAAGTAATTTTTTAAAGTAATTTTTTTCTTAGGCAAGGAAAAAAAGGCATCCAAATTGGATAAAAAAGGCTGGGCACAGTGGCTTACGCCTGTAATCCCAGCACTTTAGGAGGCTGAGGCAGGTGGATCCCTTGAGGTCAGGAGTTCGAAACCAGCCTGGCCAACATAGTGAAAGCCTGTGTCTACTAAAAATACAAAAATTAGCTGGGCATGGTGGTGCACACCTGTAATCCCAGCTACTTGGGAGGCTAAGGCAGGAGAATTGCTTGAGCCCAGGAGGCAAAGGTTGAAGTGAGCCAAGATCGTGCTACTGTACTCCAGCCTGGGTAACAGGAGCGAAACTCCGTCCCCAAAAAAAAAAAAAAAAAAAAAAAAAAAAAAAAAAAAAAAAAAAGGAAGTAAAATTATCTCTATTCTTAGATGACATGATTTTATATATGAGATTCCACAAAAAAATCTGCTAGAGCTTATAAACAAATTCAACAAAGTTGCAGGATATAAAATGAACACACAAAACAAGTTGCATTTCTGTACATTAGCAATGAACAATTTGAAAAGAACATTAAGGAAACAGTTCTATTTATAACGGCATCACAAAGAATAAAATACTTAAGAATAGATTTAACCAAGGAGGCAAGAAACTTGTATACAGCAAATTATAAAGCCCTGCTGAAAGAAATTAAACAAGACATAAATAGACATTCTCTGTTCAAGGAGTGGAAGATTTATTACTGGTAACATAGCATTACTACTCAAAGTGATCTATAGGTACAGTGCAATTCTAATCAAAAGCCCAATGGCATTTTTACATAATTTGTTTAAAAACCAGACTAAAATTTATGGAATCTCAAGGGACACGAATAGTCAAACCAATCTTGAAAAAGAAGAACAAAGTTGGATGATACACTACCTGATTTCAAAAATTGCTACAGAGCTGCAGTACTCAAAACAATGTGGTACTGGCATAATATAGACTAAAGACCAATGGAATAGAATACAGAGCCTAGAAAAAAACACTCACATATAGTGAGCAATTGATTTTTGACAAAGGTGCCAAAACATTTAATGGAGAAAGGGGAGTGTTTTCAACAAACGGTTCTGGGAAAAACTGAATATCCACATACAAAAGAATGAAGTTGGGGCCAGGCTAGGTGTCTCATGCTTGTAATCCCAGCACTTTGGGAGGTCGAGGCGGACAGATCACCTGAGGTCAGGAGTTGGAGACCAGCCTGACTAACATGGAGAAACCCAGTCTCTACTAAAACTACAAAGTTATCCGGGCATGATGGCGCATGCCTGTAATCCCAGCTACTCTGGAGGCTGAGGCAGAAGAATCACTTGAACCCGGTAGGCAGAGGGTGCAGTGAGCCAAGATTGTGCCATTGCACTCCAGCCTGGGCAACAAGAGTGAAACACAGTCTCAGAAAAAAAAAAAAAAAAAAAAACGAAAATGAAGTTGGACTTTTATCTTATGGCACATACAGAAATTAACTCAAAAATTGATCAAATACCTAAACATAAGAGGTAAAATATAAAAGTCTTACAAGAAAATGGGCAGGCTTCATGACATTGGTTTGGATTTGGTAATGATTTCTTGGATAGGACACGAAAGGCACAAACAACAAAAGAAAAATAGGGAAACTGGTGTTCATTAAGGTTTAAAACTTTTACACACCAAAGGACACAATCGACAGAGTAAAAAGGCAACCCACTGACTGAATGGCAGACAACATTTGCAAATCACATATCTGATAAGGGATCAGTATCCAGAATAGGTAGAGAGCTAAAACTCAACAACATGTAAACAACTCAATTTTTTTTTTTTTTTTTTTTGAGACAGAGTGTCCCTCTGTCACCCAGGCTAGAGTGCAGTGGTGGGATCTCAGCTCATTGCAACCTCCGCCTGCTGGGTTCCAGCAATCCTCCTGCCTCAGCCTCCCAAGTAGCTGGGATTACAGACACACGCCACTACACCCAGCTAATTTTTGTCTTTTTAGGAGAGACGGGGTTTCACCATGTTGGCCAGGCTGGTCTTGAACTCCTGACCTCAGGTGATCTGTCCACCTCGGCCTCCCAAAGTGCTGGAATTACAGGTGTAAGCCACCTCATCCAGCCTCCATTTAAAAATGAGGAAAAGCTGGGCACAGTGGCTCATGCTTGTAGTCCCAGCCAGTGGGGAGTTGGAGATGGGAGGATTTCTTGAGGCCAGGAGTTCAAGGCTAGCCTGGGCAACATAATGAGACCCTGTATCTAAAAAAAAGTTTAAAAAAATTAGCTTGGTGTGGTAGTGCGTACTTATAGTTCTAGCTACTCAGGAGCTGAGATGGAAGGATCACTTAAGGCCCAGGAGTTCGAGCTGCAGTGAACCATGATGATGCCACTGGACTTCAGCGTGGATGACAGAGCAAGATCCTGACTAAAGAAAAAAGGGGGATTGGCCGGGTACAATGGCTCATGCCTGTAATCCTAGCACCTTGGGAGGCCGAGGCAGGCAGATCAACTGAGGTCAGGAGTTCGAGACCAGCCTGACCAACATGGAGAAACCCCATCTCTACTAAAAATACAAAAAATTAGCCAGGTGTGGGGGTACATGCCTGTAATCCCAGCTATTCCAGAGGCTGAGGCAGGATAATTGCTTGTACCCAGGAGGTGAAGGTTAAGGTGAGCCGAGATGGTGCCATTGCACTCCAGTCTGGGCAACAAGAGCGAAACTCCGTCTCAAAAAAAAAGGGAAAATAGGTGGTGAGTGGGGGAGAACAAAGGACTTGAAGACACATTTTTCCAAAGAGGATATACAAATGGCCAACAAGACCATAGAAAGGTGTTTAATCATTATGAAAATGTAAATCAAAATCACAATGAGATACCATTTTACACCTAATTAGGATGGCTACCATCAAAAAAACAGAAAATAAAGTGTTGACCGGTATATAGAACCCTTGTGTACTGTTGGTGGGAATGTAAACTGGCACAGATGCTATGGAAAACAGTATGGCTGTTCTAAAAAGAAAACCTAAACATAGAATTACCACTTGTAATTCCACTTCTGGGTTCTACCCAAAGTAATTAAAAGCAAGGATACAAAGAGATAATTGTACACCCGTGGTCATCACAGCATTACAGCAACCAGAAGGTAGAAAGAACTCGAGTACCCACTTATGGATGAATGGATAAACAAAATGTGTGTCTATGTGTGTGTAAACATACACAATGGAATATTATTCAGCCTTAATGGGTAAGAAAATCCTGACACATACTACAACATGGATGAACCTTGAGGGCATTAAGCTAAGTGAAATAAGCCAGACACAAAAGGACAAATATTTTATAATTCCACCTATATCAGGTACCTAGAGTAGTCAAATTCATAGAGAAGAAAGTAAAATGATCATTGCCAGGGGCCAGTGGGAGAGGAGAATGGGCAGTTATTGTTCAATAGATACAGAGTGTTTAGAATAATGAAAGTTC